CTCTGCTCCCCTCCCAGCCTCGGGAAATGGGCTCGCGCAGCCCCGATTTCCAAAGAAATTCACCCCAAGCAAAGGTGGCCTCGTGCAGCCATCCTGCAGCCCCCGCAGGACCCCTGTGGCCCTGCTGCCTGCCCCAGCACAGCCCTCCCACCACGGGCAGGACTTTGGGGAGTGCAGAGCCCCGGGAAGGCTGGGTTGAGTAGAAACCACCAGGTCTGGTGGGTTTGGAGCCAAGGATGCACTTGGGATCCTTTTGGAGAAAGGGTGATGTTGTGCCAGGAGGGAACGGTTCCCTGGGCACAGCGGGGCTGGCAACCTGCTCCAGTGACTCCAGAGGTTGGTAACCCTCATCCCAACCTATTCACCATCCTGGGGATGGATGGGGAGAGAAGAGCACGGGAGGTGGGAGATGTGCCCGGGAGAGCAAGCGGCGAGGGGAGGGAGGGCAGGGGCAGGGGCCTGTGCCCAGCCAAAGCGCTGAGGTCAGCACTCTCCAGAGCCATCTGTTCCCGGAGAAGCCCCGGTGCAGACGGACTCGCCCGGGCTCCCGGCAGCGGATGCCGCAATTCGGTGATTCATGTGGAGAGGGGCTGGGGAACGGCGTAGAGCCGGACGCTGCCTCTGCACCGGGGATGGAGATGGAAAATTATATATTAACCACGCCGCCAAAAAGCTTTTTCAACCATTTTTTTTTTTTTCTGATGGTGGAAGCAGCTTTTAAATGACAGCACAGCTCATCACTGCCAGGCCAGAGACCTGACTCAAGCTGGTTTTTCCCCTTATTGCAGAGCAGACAGGGCAAACACAGCACCGTACCCACAGCTCTCCCTGCCACAGCCAAGCCTTGCAGGTGACACTTGTGACACAGGCCAGAGGTTTAGCCCTGGACCTGCACCCACCCTGGACCTGCAGCCATCACAGACCTATCTATTGGCTGAAACCCCCCCCTTCCCCAAAAATCTGGCTGAAAAACAAGAAGGTCTGAGCCCAGCCATTCCTACACCTGAGTACTCACCTCACCCTGTCCCAAGAAAATAAGGGTGAAGAACACCTTTCTCCTGTGGTCCTGCCTTCCCATGGGGGCTCCCAGGGCCACCCCCAGGACCATGCCCACCTCCCCTGTCTGCTCTGTCCCATGAGGGTATTCAGGGCTTTGGTGCTTAAGTACCCACACTGCTGGTGTCACCGACCCCAGCAGTGACAAAAGCCATTGAGGCAGAGCAAGGAGAAAGGTGGGAGAGAGGCCACGGGGATGGGGCTGTGCCCGGTGCACACACGGGCACCCATCTGGCACAGCTCCGCTCCGCTGCCACCCCGTCCCACCCTCACTGCCATTAAGAGAGCTAAAATAAACAGGGATGGTTTCACCCCCGCGGGGATAATTCCTCCTCCTGGGGCGGCGTGTGCCTGCTGGGCTGCCCCGCAGGTTGGGGATGAGGCAGCCAAAGCCAGCAGGTTGGAAATGGAAATTTCCCAGGAAGGGAGGAAATCGCTTCTTTCTGGGGCGTAACCAGCCCTCACCCTCCAACAACTTTATTTGCTGCTGTCGTGTCCCTAAATAGCTCCTCCAAGCAGCTGCTGGGAGTTTACATCTCCTTCACCTCTGCTCCCCTCCCAGCCTCGGGAAATGGGCTCGCGCAGCCCCGATTTCCAAAGAAATTCACCCCAAGCAAAGGTGGCCTCGTGCAGCCATCCTGCAGCCCCCGCAGGACCCCTGTGGCCCTGCTGCCTGCCCCAGCACAGCCCTCCCACCACGGGCAGGACTTTGGGGAGTGCAGAGCCCCGGGAAGGCTGGGTTGAGTAGAAACCACCAGGTCTGGTGGGTTTGGAGCCAAGGATGCACTTGGGATCCTTTTGGAGAAAGGGTGATGTTGTGCCAGGAGGGAACGGTTCCCTGGGCACAGCGGGGCTGGCAACCTGCTCCAGTGACTCCAGAGGTTGGTAACCCTCATCCCAACCTATTCACCATCCTGGGGATGGATGGGGAGAGAAGAGCACGGGAGGTGGGAGATGTGCCCGGGAGAGCAAGCGGCGAGGGGAGGGAGGGCAGGGGCAGGGGCCTGTGCCCAGCCAAAGCGCTGAGGTCAGCACTCTCCAGAGCCATCTGTTCCCGGAGAAGCCCCGGTGCAGACGGACTCGCCCGGGCTCCCGGCAGCGGATGCCGCAATTCGGTGATTCATGTGGAGAGGGGCTGGGGAACGGCGTAGAGCCGGACGCTGCCTCTGCACCGGGGATGGAGATGGAAAATTATATATTAACCACGCCGCCAAAAAGCTTTTTCAACCATTTTTTTTTTTTTCTGATGGTGGAAGCAGCTTTTAAATGACAGCACAGCTCATCACTGCCAGGCCAGAGACCTGACTCAAGCTGGTTTTTCCCCTTATTGCAGAGCACGGGTAACCTCCCGCTTCACGGGCGCTAAATGCTCATTTGGAAAGGCCAAGTTTAGCAAGAAGCCTATTAGCAGAGCCAGCGAGAGCCTCTGCACTTGCCTCCCAGGTGTAATTGCAAAATGCAGCATCACCAGGAACTTCTGGAGTGTCTTAGACCTGTTTCTTCCCGGGATCACTCCGAGCTGCCCGGCAGCCCATGCAAGGCAGGAGCCCCAGGGCAGAGCAGAGCTCCACAGACTGGGGAAACTGAGGCACGGCGACACAAGGCAGCAGCAGAGGGTCACAAAGAGCCACCCGTCCAGCATTTACTCTGTGCCATCACCCCACACCATGAGGGGCTCGCTCTGGTCCGTACCCAGCCCCACAACCTTTGGGAATGGCGCACAGGACACCAAGGAAAGCTGGGGGAAGGGAAGGGGGCAGCCTGGCCCGCCGGTCTCGAGGCCATCCCTCACCAGATGCTGATCTCCACCAGCTTTGTGCAGTCTCATTAAAGCTAAGCTGAGCCATAACTCATCAGAAACAGGGAAGTCCACATTAAGAGCTGGCAGCGACGACTTCCAGCTTTTCAGGCCTCCTTCCAGCAGCAGGAGGGTGTCACTCACAGCTTCACCTCCCCAGCTCCTTCACCCAGGGTGGAATATGGCTTTGGAGCTGCTGGGGAGAGTGGAGAGCGAGGGGATGGCTGTCCCCCTTGGATCACCAGGGTGAAGACGTACCTGGAGCAAACACAAGGTTAATCATGCCTGGAAGCAACAGCTGGATGTGACGGGGAGCTCAGAGCCCAGGCAGGCGGCTGGGGCTTTGTGGGCAGCGACAGAGTCTGGTGTCACCCACCCTCCAGCCCCGGGGGTGCCAGGTCACCCTTCTGTCCCTGCTCAGCCCCTCTCTGCTCCTGGTTACCGGCCTCCCAGCGCCACCTAACGACACGGCCACCGGGGATAGGGACCTTCACGGGGAAGCTGGACACATCCCGGTTCCTGTAGAGAAGGATGGAAAGGAGGAGGCAGGGGGACGGGGCTTGGGGATGCAGGCAGAGGAGGAAGGGGGAGCCGGAGGTACCGAGTAAGGATTTACATAATCGTAATGATCCTTCCTCTGAGGAAGCTCAGCTCTCCATCCCTGCCCTTCGCTGACCTTGATCATCCCATGGCTTTCCTGCAGCCCAGCATTAACCCCAGGGCCTTGGCCAAGTTCTGGGTTGAGCAAGGACAGCGGGTTCAGCAAAGACAGAGGCTCCCCGAGCTGTTGTCACAGCCCAAAAGCTATCCTGAAGCATCACAGGTTTGGGAACAGCCCTCTGCCATGCTCAGCACAAGCACCGTGGCCTTATCACAGCTAAAAAAGCACCCAGACATCAACCAGACATCAACGTTCAAGGTGATGGAGAAGAAAACCCCAGGGAAGAGCCAGCCCATCACCTCCCACTACCTGCTGATTTGACACAGCCACAACAACCCCTTCACCGTCACGTTTCTGGCTGGGCTCTCTCCAAAATCACCCGCTCCCCTCCCTGGGTGCACCCCCCTTGCTTTCACACACATCCCCCCCTTTCCAAAGTACTTCTTCGCCTCCGAACCCAGAGCTGATGTCATCTCCCGCTCAAGAATTTCAGCATTAGGACTGCATCAGCCTCCAGCCCTAAGGAGAGCCACATCACCCAGGCAGCTGTTCCACAAAAGCTTTATTGCTCGTTTGCCTACGAGTTCCCAGTATCACATTTCCTGAGTTTCTTAATGAGCTTGCAAATGAGATTTAAATAGAAAGGGAAAGGGGGGAGAGGAAAAAAAATAAAAAAACAAAATAAAAAAAAGGGGGAGAGAAGCCACAGATCTTCCTCCCTTAAGGTTGGACCAGAAATGGGTGGGCAAGCCCTGGTGGGCACCCACCTGATGGGCAAGCCCTCTGCCACAGGAGAGGTAAGGGTTGAGCGTGGACCTGAGACAAACCCCCGCCGGCTGCCCTGGCTCCATTTACCCTCTGCCTCCACCACGGAGCCTAATTTGCTTCTAACACACAGCCACCAGCAACCAGCCCTGTCATAGTTTACCGGGGTCAGAGAGGGGCAGCGGGGGACGGGGCGGGGGCGGGGACAGCGTGGGTGGCAGGACGGGCAGGGGAGGGGGCCCACGCTGACGCTGCCCCTGCGCCACGGATAAAGAGGAGATTATGGCTCACAGCTTGTAATCGGGCTTAAAACCTGACACCGTCACCGCAGTCAATTTGGGCTAAAAGAAGCATTTAATAAGCTTCAAAACACACAGCCCCCCCCCAAAAAGCCCCCAACCCATCCCTGACCGCAGAGAAAGGGCTCAAGACGCTGCTTGCACCCGTCAGCGCCAGCAGGTACCAAGGGACACAGGATCCCTCCGTGATGCTGAAGGAGGCAATTACACGCTCGTTATCCCAACCCACCAGTTAGAGCCCAGGCTCTGCCGGGGTTTAATCCTGGGAGGCAGAAAGCACATTAATGCCCTTGTCTGTTTGTTTAGAGCTCACACCAGCGGAGAGCAAAACGGTCCTGCCTTTGCCTTGGGACATGTGGCAGGAGACACTGCTCCCAGATGAAGGCAGTCACACACAAAGAAGCCACACTCAAGCAGCAGCTTGGATTTGGCTTCCCTGGAAAGGTTTATTTACAAAACAATTATTATTATTAAAAGAATCCTTCTTGGGCACAAATGACAAGGCAACGAAGCCGTTTGGCTCAAGGCAGCAAGACACAAGGAAGTTTCTCTGTGGGACTTGCCACGGGGGGAAGGTGTCTGGCCAGGACTGCTGCGAGGTGCACACCTTCCCTCCCCCACGCCAGCCAATTTCTTAATGCTTGAAGGACCCGAGTGACAAGAATCACCCCCAGGAGTTTGAGCCGGCTGCGGGGACAGGGGGACAGCCAGCAGCCTCAGATCTTTTGAGACATTCACTTTGGGAACCCAGAGTTCATCGTTACTAGAGGAGGCTCAAGTGTCACCACCTCTCCAGAGCAGCCACCAGCCCTGGGCACAAGCCCTGGTGCTCCTGGGCCCAGCCTGTAACCTCCTGGCATTGCCCCAGGACAGTACCAGTTGGACCAGTGCCACGTTCCCACTGCTGCTGCCTTAGTGACCGATCAGCGCCAGCATCTCCTGAGGATCCACTATCTTCTCTCGGGGTTTGCCAGCAGCTTTGCCTCTTGCCACTTCAGCAGCATCTATCTTCTCCCAGTCCGAGAAGGAAACGGGACGGACCCCTGGGGTGACAGATGGGGAGAGAGAACTTAACCAAGTAAAAAACAAGTTCAGCTTCACCTCCCCGTTAGCAGGGACCTGACGTGCCGGCAAACCCTGCCCTTTTCCAACGCGGCGTTGGACTTCACAAAGGAATAATCATTTCTAACACAGCAAGGAGGAGGCTGGCAGGTTCCAGTCACCTCTGATCAGTCAGACCTTTGCAAGCTGTAACAACAGCGAGCCTGGCGTCACCCCGGGGGACAAAACACTTCCATTTCCCTGTTAAACCTCAGATGGGTAAGAGGCAACACACACACACTTTAATGGAATGCCTTTAAACACAGCAACAGCAAATTATTCTCTTGGGCGTTTTAATCTTTCCTTTAACTTGCCCAGAAGGATCGCTAGGAAAAATCACTCAAGAGCAGTAGCTCGCTGCCGAGGCAGCTGACAGGGACATTTTACCCAAGGTCCGTGCTGCTTTTAATGGCTTTTCCCAGAAAGTGGTCATTAAGCTTAGCAATGACAGCGAGTTTGAGGGAATTCAAGTCCTGCTCTCCCTGGGCTTTGGAGCAATGAAACAGCAGCACAACACGTCTCCATGGGTCAGACTCTGCTCCCAGATGTGTCTGGCAGGACTGGCTGCCCCAGGACACCCCCATCCAGGAGGAGTTTGGCTGCATCATACCTTCATGCTGGCTGCTCCAGCGGCTCACACCACCCCCCCACACTGACCTCGGCTGCGCAGGATGCTCTCCACGGCTCCAAAACCTTCTCTGGAGGTGGACACGTCCAGCGTGCCCACCTGGAGATCCTCCAGCACAGACTGGGCAGTGTCAAAGCTGTCGTTCATGGTGGTGATGATGACGCCCGTGGGTCCTCTCTTCACCCACCCGCTGCAGTACAGACCTGCACGGGCACACAGCAGCCAGGCTCGGTCCAGCATGTGGCCGTGGACCCTCCTGGCTGCAAGTCCTTGCCCTGTCCCTGGGTGTCACATCAAGCTGTAGGCGGTGGAAGAATCCACCCCCGTGGTGGGAACAGAGTGCAGCCCTTGGACGGTGCCATCACAGGAGTTTGTGTACCTGGAGATGGGCACTAAGCAGCCGTATGGGCTGTAGGGCTTCAGTAACAGACCCCAGGGCCCAGTAAAACCACTATAAAACCTTCAGCACTCTTTGCTACAAAACCAGACACCCCTAACACGAGCTGGGGACAGGCCAGGTCTTAACACCTGATAGAGGCAGCTCGTTTCTTCACTTTCCACTCTCTGACTGAGGAGGGCAACTCCCTCGTATCACTGCCCTTGGTCAATAGAGCTTCCCACTCCAAAGCCCCCAACCCAGCAGCTCAACACGTCTCCCACGCACATCCCTGTGGATACAGACCTGGGACACCCTCCACTCTGCCCGAGCTGTTGGGGATAATGCCACGCTGGGTGTCGAAGGGTACCGCCGGGTCCAGGGGCAGGCTCCGGTAGCCAATGCTGCTCAGCACCAGCCCACACTCCAGCTCCTCCACATCTCCAGTGGGGATGGCTTTGGCGGAGTCACCCGAACCCTGAGAGAGGGGGGAAGAGGCTGCTGACCACCAGACAGTCACCAGATGCAGAGCAGTAGCCTCCTGCAGTCCCCTTTGGCATCCTTGATCCCTGGCTATTCCCTAAAGACCCTTCTGCAGCAGCAGCAGCGTGGAAAGAGCTGCCTTTAGACAGGGAAAGGCTCTTGGCAGCGGCACCAGCTTCCCCGAGAGCCTGCCAGCGGCCACCCCAACCAGCCAGGGAACACAAGGCTGTCTTTGGAGAGATTCCTAAGGGCTGCAGGGCATCCTGCTCCATCCCTGCAGGGCACACACCCCCCCCAGTAGGGCCATACCAGCCCCCCCTCCCCGTTAAGCCCGTACCTCCAGGCGGGTCAGGGCCATGCGGATGCCCCTCGCCCGCCTCCCGTCAGCGGTGGGCAGCACCTCCTGGGGGCTGCGCTGGAACTTCAGCCCCCACTCCCGGGGGGGTGCTGCCTGCGCCTCCGTCATCTTCTCCCCAGGCTTCTCCAGGGCTGTTTTGATCATCAGCTCAGTCAGTCGCTTCCTGGGTCTGGGGGCATCTGGGAAGACAGAGAGCGAGCTTCAGGACACACAGCAAAAGCCCCTGGGGACACAGCACAGAGCCAAGACCATGCCAAGGCAGTTTCAGTGGTGTGTGAGTGTCCATTTGGAGTTTGTCACGCCGATAGGAGTCCGACACCATTGAGATGACAAACTGCAAGTCAAAGTGACCAGGGTTGCTCCTGAGGCTTGAGGCCAGTGGGACACACAAATCAAAGCCTGCGATTTCTCTGTCTTTCTGGTGCTCAGAGGCAGCAGCCTGTGGAGAAGAGCAAGTCCCTGGACACCCTTGAACTCAGTGTTTTCTTTTTAGCTCTGCAGGAAGCTCTTAAATCAACAGCCTTGGGATTTCTCCTGCAAGGTTCCCCCAGCCCTCCCCAACGTCCTGCCCTCATCACTCAGAGCATAAGCATCACTCCCAAGCAGCAAACTGGCTGCACAGAGAAACAGTCTTCACGAGTTCCTAGCACTCTGAGGACAAGCTACACCATGGTCACCTGGCTTTCACATGCCATGCATTAAGGACAGGGCAAGATACGTGGTCTCCCTCTGATACATGGTCTGAGCATCTCCGGATCACTCCTGGCTGCTCGCCTGTCAGGGTGAGTCCCTGTCTGGAGGGGCACAGCACAGTTCCCTCACCTTTAACAGCATTTTCGAGGCCTGTGAAGTCAGCAGGGTTGAGGACAGGCCTGGCACCGGGCAGGTTTATCATCTCCCGCAGCTCCTGGGAACCGCAGGAAGGCAGGAAGATATTACCTCCAGCAGAAAGAGGTCGTCCAACAGCCCCAGGACCCCTTCCCCAGCAGTCCAGGCTGGGAACCAGGTTTGGGAAGGAGGATGCCTGGGTTCCCCACCCATCCCTAGACCACCTCTCCCCACCAGGGATGAGCAGCCCGAGGCTCAAGGCTGGGAAATGCAGCTGCCCTCCAGCATCCCCAGCCTTACCTTGATCGTGAAAGCGACTTGGAGAGGTCCCCTCCTCCCAACCAGCCAGACGCGCTTCACCTTGCTGCAGGCAAGAGCTGCCAGGGAGCCATCAGTGATGTCTGTCTTCTGCAAGACAGAGACAGGAGAGTGGGACGAGGGCAGATCTGGAGGGAGCCAGGGGGAAGGCACAGCCTCTGAAGGTGAAACATCAGCAGAAAAGCAGGCTGTGCAGGCAGAGAGCCTGGGCGAGGATGGAAAACGAGCCATCTCCCTTTGCACAGAGCTATTTGCACAGCTGGTCCCTCATCACTGAGTGTACTTTCTGAGGCCATAATGCACTAGAGGTAAGGAGCCAGCACCCCGTGAGATTGCCTCAGGACATCCACCCAAGGTTAACCCTGGGGCTAACTGAGCAAAGCTGTCCAGTAATCTCCATTTTTGGGGTCCTTGCAGATGCTGTTGGGTGACTTCCCAGCCCAGGATACGTGGGGATTTGGGAGAAACCCACTGCAAACCACAGCACAAATCACTGCCTGCCTGCCCCAGGCAGCTCCACACACAAACACAAGCATTGCCAGGGCTCGACCAATGGTTGGCATCTCACAGTAACCCCAAGCTTTGTTTCAGTTGTGCACATGTATCTAGACCAAAAGATGATCTTTTCCAGAGAAGACACGATGGGAGGGACACCAGGTAACTTGGATAAACCATTCCAGACCAATACTCTTCACAGAAAACTGCCTGCACACCCTGGCACTCGTTCCCAGTGCCCTGTCCTTCGCAGCACTGCTTCCCAGCTGGCTTTAGCCACTGGTTGGCAGTTGCCTCCAAGCTGTGGGTTTGTTGTTTCTTTTTTAAATTTAATTTAGATATTAATACAGGAAGTTGTTACACAGCTGTAACAAACATCGTGGCATTTCTCCAGGAAGGAAAGCCTTTGCTGCCAACATCTGGGACAGCAGCTGTAGGGAGCAGCTGGTGCACACCAACTCCCAGCTGTCTACAGGGGATCACAGCAGTGGGAGGAGAGGTCCACCAGCTTGGACCAGCCACCAGTGTGCCCAGTGCTACCAGCAGAAACCAGGTTGCTGCCCTCAGCTGCAGTAGAAAACAAAAGTCCCAATAGGAGAGGCCACTAGTTCGGTGGTGGAAAAGGGTGAGCAGCTCCTCCTTTGCTTGTCATAGGAAAGGAAGAGATGAAGCTCAACTGCCAACTTTTTGGGTACCAGCAGCAATCCAGAAAGCTCTGCAGCGTTACCCAAGGCACAGCCACAGCCTTGGATCACTCCCTACGGACTGTGAACCCACAGAGCACACCCGAGAGCCAACAACCTTCCCCGGGGAAAGATCCCAAAGCCAGGAGAGTCTGAGGGTTTGCCAAGATGGGTGGGAGCCAGCACCCACCCAGCAGGGAGTGAATTTGGGCCCCAGGCTGCCTTCGTGGCATGGAGCACCCCTGTGACTCACCCTGAGGAGATCCAGTGGGGACAGGAGGATCCGGGCGATATCCAGAGCCACGTTGCCGTGACCCAGAATCAGCGCCGTCTCGCAGCTCAGGTCAGGCTTCAGCTGCAGGGAAAGAAAGACCCATCCATGAGCAAATCCATGCGGCCTCCATGATGTCCACTCCCTCGGACCTGCTCCCTCCACCCGAATTCCCTTCCACCCCTCTTTTCCCCCCAAAAAGGTGACGCACACAGGGAAACTCCACACCAGCCTCCTCCCCAAGCAAACACAGCCACTCCCGGCACCCCATCTGATCCCTCTCCCGCTCTTCCTGCAATGACATCTCTGGAAGCAGAAGCTGCTTTGACCAAAAAAACCTTCTCAGGCCAAAGCAGGGCTTCAGCTGCAGGGAAAGACCCATCCGTGAGCAAATCCACATGGCCTCCATTATGTCCACTCCCTCGGACCTGCTCCCTCCACCCGAATTCCCTTCCACCCCTCTTTTCCCCCCAAAAAGGTGACGCACACAGGGAAACTCCACACCAGCCTCCTCCCCAAGCAAACACAGCCACTCCCGGCACCCCATCTGATCCCTCTCCCGCTCTTCCTGCAATGACATCTCTGGAAGCAGAAGCTGCTTTGACCAAAAAAACCTTCTCAGGCCAAAGCAGAGCATCACACCCCCCTGGTTCCCATCTGGCCCGGCCAAAACGTGCTGCCAACCTACAGAGCCGGCTAATCCGCTCTCACTGATGTGCAAATTGTTCACATTTCTACCATCTAAGAAGGATTTAACGTGGTGCCTGCTAATCTTTTCCAATTGCAGGCCTTTCAGGACTTAATCTGGAGCTGAATGCCTGTGTTTGGATGCAGGACGGGGAGGAAGGGCAGGGAAACACAGGGCTGTACTCACATCCCGGTTCTCGGGCAGCCCGTTGTACCAGCCCACGAACTCTCGGGCCGAATAAACGCCGGAGAGGTTCTCCCCTGGGATCCCCAGCACCCGGTTATCTTCAGCACCATAACTCTGAGGAGGGAGCAGACATGGTCAGATATGTCACCAAGTGCAGGCTTTAGGACCAAAACACAGATATCCCAGCTGCTGCCAGGACCCTGCACGGCTGCCAACCCTTCCTGAGGGCTGGGATACTCAATGGAGAGGTTAAACACAGGGGCTTCATCCCTCCCATCCCCCTGGGCTCCAGAGCCAAACTTGTCCTCCTTGGGCCAAGGCAGAGTGTGACGACCTGAGGAGTGAACAGGAGGGACAAAATCCATGTCAGGCTGAAATATTGGCCACCGTGGGGAAGAGGTTCCTCAAGCACTGCCCCTTGCAGCAGGGTTTCAGAAACCTGCACTTGATGCCATGCTCCCTGCAAGGCTTCGGACAAGCCTCGTAGCATCTGAGCTGTCCTGAGGCTGGGGAGAGTTTCCCGTGGTAATAAGGCACCCAGAAACACCTCATCCAAACCTTCTTTCTGAGATCCCAGTGGGGAATAGTAACCCTGCTGCAGAGAGAAGAGTGTGGCCAGCAGGTCAAGGGAGGTCATTCTGCCCCTCTACTCTGCACTGGGGAGGCCACAACTGGAATCCTGCATCCAGTTCTGGGCTCCCCAGTTCAAGAGGGACAGGGAACTGCTGGAAAGAGTCCAGCGTAGGGCTACAAAGATGATTCAAGGATTGGAGCATCTCCCTTATGAGGAGAGGCTGAAAGAGCTGGGACTCTTTAGTCTGGAGAAGAGAAGGCTGAGGGGAGAACTTATCAATGCTGACAAGTATCTCAAGGGCGGGCTGAGGGAGGAGGAAACCAGACTCTTTTCAGTGGTTCCCAGTGAGAGGACAAGGGGCAATGGGCAGAAGTTGGAACATAAAGAGTTCCACTTGAACATGAGGAAAAACTTCTTTGGGGTGAGGGTGGCAGAGCCCTGGAACAGGCTGCCCAGGGAGGGTGTGGAGTCCCCTTCTTTGGAGATTTTCAAGACCTGCCTGGATGCTCCTGAGTGGCATGCTCTGACAAGCTCTGGGTGGTCCTGCTTTAGCAGGGGAGTTGGACTAGATGATCTCTATGGTCCCTATGGTCTCTATGGTCCCTTCCAACTCTAAAAATTCAGTGAAAAAAGACCTTCCCCACGAGTTCTGGGGAGGTAGGGCAGCCCTGGCTCCGGGTGGTGGTACCCACCAGCACCACAGCGTGGTAAGCCTGCCGCAGCTCTGCCACCGTGACGTCCCTCCCCACGGTGACGTTTCCGTAGTAGGCGCAGCGCTCCGAGCGCGCCGTCTGCGTGAAGGCGTTGATCACGTTCTGCCGAGATCAAAAAAAGCAGCAGGGAGTTACATCCGAGCCACAGCCGGGGCCAAGGCCCACTGCTGACATCTCCTGTGTCGTCCCCCCCCCCGGCCTTGAGATGCTTCTCCCCCTCTGTGAGTCAGTTATTCCGAGACTCTTATCTGACACCAGCCGCAGATAATTCGTGGGGAGATAAGGACGGCTGGGACTTGGCACTCTTTCCACCACCCTTTGTGGAAAGAAAAATCCACACCTGCCTGGGGAGGACAGGACCCTTCAGCCCCTCTGAGTAAACCCCGCTGCAGGAGAAAACTCCTTCCCAAAGTTGAGGCTGGCAAGGGAGCCCCACCAAACAACCCTCTTCCATCGAGCGCGCTGCCTGCCAGACCCCCTCTGCCAGCCTCCCATCTCAACCCTTCCTGAAACCCACTTCATCCCGAGAGAAGGCAGGGCAGGATGGCACCCAAAACCTTTTCTTCTGAGCTATTGGGGCTACGCAGTAAGACCTCTCTGGTGTGACAGCTCCACACCACAGTGAGCCCTGAGGCACCACGAAGGAGGGCGACTGCCTCACCTGCACCCACCACCATCACCACGTTCAACCGTAGGGCGAGGGGAGGAAGCCAGCACCAACCTTCACCTCGGGGTGGTCAGGGGCCACCCCAAAACGGACGAGTCCAAAGGGAACAGGCAGCTTCTCATAGATGTCCACTCGGGCCCCGCCATGGTGCTGCAGGAGAAGGGAGTCGTGGTTAAGGGATGGGGACAGAAAGGCCACGTGAGCCCAGCACCTCAGGAGGGACGTGGATAGCTGGAGGGTAGGAGGGAGGGTTGTACCAAGGCCTTCAAGTCAGAAACAACCTCTTCCACGCACAGGATGATGCTGTACCTGTTACTGCCAGCTCAACTCACAAGGTGCAGCAGAGAAGGTGACCCCAGCCACCATCGAGAACATCTCATGGAAGGGCTCCATCCTCCTACCCACCCCACAGCCCCTCTCCCACACTAACCTGGTGGCTTTCCCATACCTGGGAGGCAGATGAAAGAGGTCCCACATTGGTTGGGAAGGACCCAGTGCAGAACCCTGGGTGCTGGTGGACCTGCTGGGCCATCTGCCAGCCCCCCCCAGAAATGCCCATGCCCTGAGATTCCCCTGAGCTGAGTCACCTCAGGGTCGGAGCTTTAGACAGATGTTTTGCTGCAAGGCTTTTGTTATCATCTATTTTGTGTCAGCCTCTTCCCAGAGATTAAGCAGCCCTGAAATTTGTCCCTGAGGCTTAGCACCAGCTATTTTCTAACACGTACCGGAGACAGCACGGCACGGTTTAATGACGGGGTTAAGCTGCTGCATTTCTGATTGGTGTCAGCAGCCCAGTCTCATTTCGTGACAGAGCCCAAAGCACTAACGTTTACAGACACCGAGTAAAGGATCACTCGGGTACCTTAACTCAGCTGGAGGAGGAGAAAGAGGAGGAGAAGGAGGAGGAGGCAGAAGAGCAAGTTCTGCACATTTAGCATATGGTTTGTGTCATCCCTGTTGGGTGACACCAGCTCAGGGTGAGGCAGATCTCTGCTGCTTATCTGATTCTAGAAAAATCACTTGGGCTGAAGCCACAGCAGCCTGGGTCCAGCCACCTCCCACCAAACCAGGTTCCTCAAAGTCCCATCCAGCCTGGCCTTGAACCCCTCCAGGGATGGGGCAGCCACAATTTCCCTGGGCAACCTGTTCCAGCGTCTCACCACCCTCACAGGAAATAACTTCTTCTAATATCTAATCTAAATCTCCCCTCTTCCAATTTAAAACCTCTAGTGGGAGGTGTCCCTGCCCAGGGCAGTGGGTTGGAACTTGATGATCTTTAAGGTCCCTTCCAACTCCCACCATTCTATGACTCTGTGGGGCCAGGGTTGCCCCCCCAACAAGACAGAGGTGGCTGAAGAGGGATTGGGAGCCCCCAAACCCACTCCCCAACTCCTTTGGAGCCAGGCAACGTGGAGATGCCCCTCTCAGCGGGCATTTCCCTCCCCTCACCCACCACCAAATCCCACCCTGGTACCTTCAGGATGTGCTGAGCCGTGTAAAAGCCGGCGGGTCCACTGCCCACCACACAAACACGGGGAGCCGGGCCAGAGGAGGAAGAAGAGGAGGAGGAGGAGAGCCACCGCTTGAAACCTGGAGGTGTGAAGGACAGAGAGGACACGATGCCACGTGAGGTCCCGACTCCCAGACCCCACCAGAGCCCTTCCCTCCAGCCCTGCACCCACCCAGAGGGGCTCGTCCCCCCACACCGGCCATGGTGCCCGCCGGGCGATGGAGGACGGCCGGGGTTTATGTACCCAGCCAAGGCCGGCAGCCCCCGCGCTCGGCCAAGCCCACGGCCTTGGCAAGTACGGCTGGGACAGGACGGGACAGGACGGGGCCAGCGGGGGTGTCGGCCGCCCCGGAGAAAGGCACCGGGAAGCGCCACAACCGAGACTCCCCCCGCCCCACGCACCGGGAATGGGGGAAGATCCCGGTCCGAGGGGTCCAGGGACCACCCCTCGGCCTCATGTCCCTCGCTCCCCCAAAGCTGGAGGACGGGAGTGTCAGGCACGGCTCCCGCGGCCCCGGTTCCCCGAGTCCCGCTTCCCCTGTGACTGATTCCCCCCACAGCCCCGGTTCCCCCGGGCCCAGCTCCCCCGGTCCCGGTTTCCCCCGCAGCCCCGGTTTGCCTGGGCCCGATTCCCCAAGGGCCCGGACCCCTGGTTCCCCCCGAGTCCCGGTTTGCCCCGGTTCTCCCGGGCCCAGAGTCCCCCCCACAGCCCCGGCTCCCCCAGTCCCAGCTCCCCCAGTCCCGGTTTCCCCCACAACCCTGGTTTGCCTGGGCCCGACTGCCCTCCGCAGCCCTTCGGGCCCGGACCCCCGGTTCCCCCAGTCCCGGTTTCCCCCGGGCCCAGAGCCGCTGCTCCCCCCGCCGCCCCGGTTCCCCCCGGTTCTCCCGCTCCCAGACCCTTCCATCCTCCTACCCACCCCACAGCCCCTCTCCCACACTAACCTGGTGGCTTTCCCATACCTGGGAGGCAGATGAAAGAGGTCCCACATTGGTTGGGAAGGACCCAGTGCAGAACCCTGGGTGCTGGTGGACCTGCTGGGCCATCTGCCAGCCCCCCCCAGAAATGCCCATGCCCTGAGATTCCCCTGAGCTGAGTCACCTCAGGGTCGGAGCTTTAGACAGATGTTTTGCTGCAAGGCTTTTGTTATCATCTATTTTGTGTCAGCCTCTTCCCAGAGATTAAGCAGCCCTGAAATTTGTCCCTGAGGCTTAGCACCAGCTATTTTCTAACACGTACCGGAGACAGCACGGCACGGTTTAATGACGGGGTTAAGCTGCTGCATTTCTGATTGGTGTCAGCAGCCCAGTCTCATTTCGTGACAGAGCCCAAAGCACTAACGTTTACAGATACCGAGTAAAGGATCACTCGGGTACCTTAACTCAGCTGGAGGAGGAGAAAGAGGAGGAGAAGGAGGAGGAGGCAGAAGAGCAAGTTCTGCACATTTAGCATATGGTTTGTGTCATCCCTGTTGGGTGACACCAGCTCAGGGTGAGGCAGATCTCTGCTGCTTATCTGATTCTAGAAAAATCACTTGGGCTGAAGCCACAGCAGCCTGGGTCCAGCCACCTCCCACCAAACCAGGTTCCTCAAAGTCCCATCCAGCCTGGCCTTGAACCCCTCCAGGGATGGGGCAGCCACAATTTCCCTGGGCAACCTGTTCCAGCGTCTCACCACCCTCACAGGAAATAACTTCTTCTAATATCTAATCTAAATCTCCCCTCTTCCAATTTAAAACCTCTAGTGGGAGGTGTCCCTGCCCAGGGCAGTGGGTTGGAACTTGATGATTTTTAAGGTCCCTTCCAACTCTCACCATTCTATGACTCTGTGGGGCCAGGGTTGCCCCCCCAACAAGACAGAGGTGGCTGAAGAGGGATTGGGAGCCCCCAAACCCACTCCCCAACTCCTTTGGAGCCAGGCAACGTGGAGATGCCCCTCTCAGCGGGCATTTCCCTCCCCTCACCCACCACCAAATCCCACCCTGGTACCTTCAGGATGTGCTGAGCCGTGTAAAAGCCGGCGGGTCCACTGCCCACCACACAAACACGGGGAGCCGGGCCAGAGGAGGAAGAAGAGGAGGAGGAGGAGAGCCACCGCTTGAAACCTGGAGGTGTGAAGGACAGAGAGGACACGATGCCACGTGAGGTCCCGACTCCCAGACCCCACCAGAGCCCTTCCCTCCAGCCCTGCACCCACCCAGAGGGGCTCGTCCCCCCACACCGGCCATGGTGCCCGCCGGGCGATGGAGGACGGCCGGGGTTTATGTACCCAGCCAAGGCCGGCAGCCCCCGCGCTCGGCCAAGCCCACGGCCTTGGCAAGTACGGCTGGGACAGGACGGGACAGGACGGGGCCAGCGGGGGTGTCGGCCGCCCCGGAGAAAGGCACCGGGAAGCGCCACAACCGAGACTCCCCCCGCCCCACGCACCGGGAATGGGGGAAGATCCCGGTCCGAGGGGTCCAGGGACCACCCCTCGGCCTCATGTCCCTCGCTCCCCCAAAGCTGGAGGACGGGAGTGTCAGGCACGGCTCCCGCGGCCCCGGTTCCCCGAGTCCCGCTTCCCCTGTGACTGATTCCCCCCACAGCCCCGGTTCCCCCGGGCCCAGCTCCCCCGGTCCCGGTTTCCCCCGCAGCCCCGGTTTGCCTGGGCCCGATTCCCCAAGGGCCCGGACCCCTGGTTCCCCCCGAGTCCCGGTTTGCCCCGGTTCTCCCGGGCCCAGAGTCCCCCCCACAGCCCCGGCTCCCCCAGTCCCAGCTCCCCCAGTCCCGGTTTCCCCCACAACCCTGGTTTGCCTGGGCCCGACTGCCCTCCGCAGCCCTTCGGGCCCGCCTCACCGCGCGGGACCCTCCAGCACGCGCCGCCCGGTCCCATCCCGGCCGCCGCCGCCGCCGCTTCCCCGCCCCTCCTCCGCGCCGACCAATCGCGAGGCGGGAAAGCGCCACGCTTAGCATAACCCCGCCCCCTACGGCGCTGCGTGGCCCCGCCCCCTTCTCGGCAGCCAATGGCGACACGCAGTTGCCGTCACGCTGTCCGGAAACGCGCGGTACCATAGAGAAGACAAGGGAGGGAGAGGCCGCTTTACTCGGCCGCCCGCGCCGCCGCTTTCTATGGTAAGGCCTCCGCGGTACCCTGCCTGCATCGGCTCCATCCCCGCGGTGCTAATTGCCTGCGCCCCTTCATTGCCAAGGGCGGGTGATTAACTGCGGAGGTCTCCCGGGGGAAACAGAAGCTCAGACTGATTTTTATCATCCCCCCTGTGGAGCCGTCTGCCCCTCGCCGGGAGAAACGTGCAGCATCCCCCCAGGGAAAGATAAAACATTAAAGCCAGAGACAGCGGATAAATCCCTTGCCAGGCTCCTGCCCCATGCCCCCCACGGTCCCGGCTTTATTTTCTATTTAATCCCCATCCCTGGAATACTGTGTCCAGCTTTGGAGTCCTCAACACAGAAAGGACATGGACCAGCTGGAAGAGGTGCAGCGGAGGGCCACAGAGATGATCAGAGGGATGGAGCACCTCTCCTATGAAGACAGGCTGAGGGAGCTGGGATTGTTCAGCCTGGAGAAGAGAAGGCTCCGGGGAGACCTTATAGCGGCCTTTCAGTATCTGAAGGGTGCCTATAGAAGAGCTGGGGAGGGACTCTTTGCCAGGAAGGGTAATGATAGGACAAGGGGAAACGGTTTTAAATTGGAAGAAAAAAGATTCAGATTAGATCTCAGGAAGAAATTTTTTACTCTGAGGGTGGTGAGACACTGGAACAGGTTGCCCAGAGAAGCTGTGGCTGCCCCATCCCTGGAGGTGTTCAAGACCAGTCTGGATGGGGCCTTGAGCAACCTGGTCTGGTGGGAGGTGTCCCTGCCCAGGGCAGGGGGGTTGGAACTAGATAATCTTTGAGGTCCCTTCCAACCCAAACCATTCTATGATTTCAAATGCGACTACTCACACCCCCCTTGCAGGAGCACCCTGGTTTGCTTCATGCCCCTACACAACACACCGGGGGGGGGAAATCATCCCAGCCCGGCCAGGAGATGTTTAAGGGTTGTACAGATGCCAAAGCATGCAGGCGAGCGCTAACGGGGCTTTTTAAAAGCAATTAAGACCAAGAGGAGTTTACAGCTAGAAGCTGATTTTAATAAGGGTCATAAAACCCAGACGCTTTCTCGCACATTCTTGAAAATTGGCTCATGGCTTTCTGCACGGGCATGCTGAGAACCAGCTGGCCATATGCCTCCGTCTGCACCCGCACCTCCAGGGCGTTTGCAGCAAGGACCAGGATTTCCTGCTGCTTTCAAGCCTGTGCCTCTGCTCCAAGTCCCCAGCCTCATCACAATATGGCCATCACCACGGCATTGCCCAAAGAGGCAAGGCTGGAGGTTCAGTTCCAAATATCAGTATTGATATCATCCACAAAAAGACTAAAATTTATATTTGGGGCATTACTCGGGAGGGAAATTTGGAGGGTTCTTGAGCACAGGTTGGAAATCTTCTCCTTTCCCCAGAAATCTCCCTTTTCCCCATTAACCTCTGCTGTATCTGCCACTTTTGACAGGAAATAACCCACATATTTCCCAAATCACAACCCACCTCCTGCTGGCTGTTGGGCCTGCGTTGCCTTTAGATGGCACTGCACTAAACAACAGCCATGAAATCACAGAATCAATCCAGCTGTCCCTCCCCCAACACTTAGGAACAGTTTGGGACTGATCTCCTTGTAACAGAGGAGGAGAAAGAGCATTTTGTGCCCACCCTGTGCTCCCTCCAGGCGGGGACACGTCAGGCTGAGATTACCCAATCTGAACCAAAAGCACCCCTAGTGCATCCTCACACACACACACACACTGCCCTTGCTGGAGCCAGGAGCCTCATCAATTTGGCACATTTGGCATAATTTAGCCCTGATGCTCAGTTAAGAACTTACTGTTGGGGTAGGAGGGCAGCTTTGGGGAGGGTCCCTGCCACCCCCAGGCCCCGATGACCACAGGAGCACTTGGGCCATTTGGTCCAGCCACCCTCCCCCAGCTTCCCTCCCACCCATGGACCCAGAGTAACCCACGCTCAAAGGACGAGAATTTGCCCTTTGGATGTTTCACAATGTCCTGGATCGATAAACCCACATGGGGCCGGTTAGAGATGACACAGCAATGCCACCAGCCCAGGGCATCAGCATCACCCGGGTCCGGGATAAATCAGTAATTCCCTGTTTCTGATCCAAAGGGGTCACCCTGGATGGATCCAGGGCCAGCCTTCCCTGCCCCCACGTCTGGATCTGCTACACAGGGACACACCGTGGTGGTCATCCCAGCTCCGGCCCCATGTCACAGTGGGGACACCTCTCCAGTGGCTCCGAGGATGTCCCCACACTTGGTGAAGGAGAAAGGGGTACGTGATGCCCACAGGAGGGCAAACAGCAGGGGCTGCCCGCTGCAACCCTCACCCTGCCCCAGCCAGGAGCAGGGCAGAACATCCCTGTACCCCAGGACATACTTGCAGTGTGGAGCCCCATAAATCCCTGCTGTGGGGCTGGGGGGGTCCAGCCCAGGTTGGGGGGCAGCACAAATCAGGGAGCAAAACCCCAGGCTCAGAGCAAAGCTTTGCAAAGCCCAGGGCCAGCACTGACTCCCAACCTGGTCCCAGTCGGGCCGGTTGCCTTTTCTGCTGCCAGCTCCCCACCGTGATGCTGGGCTGGACTTTGTCATCGGTCTTGGCAGGTTTGGGACAGCAGGGTGTTGAAGAAAGCCAGGGACGGCGTCCCAGAGGGGTTGGAACCGGCCACGTGAGCATCCCACCCACTGGCAGCAGCTCAGCAGGCTGAGTTCATCTGCCCTAAACAGGGAAAGTCTCCCAAGCCCTGGAGACCCACCTGCCTCCAGCAGCTGATTCTCCTGCTAAACTCTTGCAAGAGCAACGATCGGGTCCGGGGTCACCTCCAGCACCCCAATACAGACACCCAACACAGGATGAGGGTCTTTCCCTCAGCCCTGCCTTGGGCACCACGGGATACCAGTATGACTTCCTCCAGCAACAAAACTCCATAATAATAAAGAAGATCCGCTTCAACATGTTAAGGCTGAATTTACCCAGTCATTGTTCCTAGAAGGGAATTATTTACCCCAAAGTCAGGCAAAGCGCAGGCAGCAGTGAAACAGCCCCCATCCCCCACGATCCACCCCTTCCCTGAGCCCCTGACCACACATTTGCAGCCCCATCCTACAGATCCTGGCACCTCTCAGCCAGGAACCAGCTCTGGATGCCCTGGACAAGGTGCCATGTCCCCAGCCGCGTCCCCCCAGACCTGCTGCAGGGAGGTCCCAGCCAGCAGACCAGGGGTTCCTCTCCCCAAGCGTGAAAGCAAAGTGGATAAAACTAAGCCCTGGCTGGAGTAACTGGTGGGGGCAGACCCCTTTTTCTGTCCTCGGCTTTGCACCGTCCATCTCTCCTCCCGCAGTGGCTCCATGTGCCATGATTTAGCCAAAAGCAAGGCATCGAGGAGAGATGTTTCCTCTGTGATGGCTTTATGGAGGTGTGTGTCCCCCAGTCCTGCTGACACCATCCCTGCTGCAAGTGCCCTGCAGGGTCCCCAAGTCGTGGGGCCCCGTCCTCACTGGATGCCCACCAGCTCCGTTATGGGGGGAGCGTGGACCATCAGCTCCTCGTATCTCTCCAGGAAGAGCCGGAGCCTGGAGGCATAGGTGTCCTCATTGTAGGGCAGCTTCTTCTGCTTCAGGTACTGGGAGACGATGGGTTTGATCTGCAAAGGCAAAGGCAGAGTCACCTCCGTGCGGGATGTCCTGGTGTTTGTACCAGGCTCCCAGTTCAAGTCATCACCGAGCTCCACGCAAGGTGCCCAGAAAACCCGTCCCACATGCCCCAAATGGGGCTGGAGATGGCAGCAATAGCTATAACACCTTTGCTGTGTAAATTAAGAGCCAGGTGGTTTCCAGTTGCAGCAACATGGGGAGTTCAACGTGGGGAAAACACCTTTGCGGGGCTCCAGATGAGGAGAGGTGCCCTAACGAGGCTTTAACGAGGACCAGTCACGCATGCTCATGGCTTGCACCCATAGTTATCCCCATGTGCCCGTACAGCCGGCTCGGCAATGAAGCTGGGAGGCTGCCACCAGCTTAATTACCCCTTCCCTGCAACACACCTTTGTGGGAAGCAGGTCCTACCAGCCCCGTGAGCTCGAGCAAAGGGCACGACCTGAAACCCACTTGTGCTCCTGCTGTCTCTATTACGATTACTTAATTTTTCCCCCTGATTTCAGGCTGAAAACGAGCGCAAGGCATTAAACAAGCAGAGCTCCTGCACTGAAGGGCAACGCATGGACCTGTCTGGGGATCCCCTCGAGCTGGAGCAGAGCTCGGGGAGCCCACGTTTTGAACACACCCCACACATCAGAGCAACAAGTAAGGGCACGACCAAAATTACAGGGAGATTTGCCTGGAAAATGGCTGAAATGAACGCCAGACTGGGATCCAGACCAGGAAAGGAGCAGGGAGTGGAAATAGGGGAGAAAGAGGAGCAAGGATGAAGGGAGGTGGGTTAGGGGCTGTTGTGAAGAAGCAGCAAGAGGACTCTGGCACGGGGGGATCAGCACAGAGAAGTCCAGTGGTAGGGAGAGGAGGAGCAGCACGGTGGGAAGATGGATGGTCTTGTCCCTGTGTCACCTCCCAACATGCTCATCCACCCTGTGGGGTCATCTCACCTTCAGGCACATGTTGTCGGAGAGGTTGGGGAAGAGGTGATGCTCCACGTGGCAGCTGATGAGCGAGTGGCCAAAGGACCAGTCGAGCAGGGCGTTGCGGGGCAGGTTGAGGACACCCAGGCTCATGAGGTGGATCCTCTTGGGTTTACGATCAGCCGCGAACATGGGGAGGCCGATGTGCTATGGGAGAGGGAGGTGGGGACCCTGTGGTACCTGCCACCCTCCAGCCCCTTCCCAGCAGAGCAAACCATGGCTCCAGACATGCAAGGGCATGAAGGTGCCAGCCTCCATCCTGTGCTTGACTGTCCACAGAGTCACCGATGACCACCAGGGCTCTGTCCCCCAACCCACCCACACTTGGTGCCACCAGCTTCTCACCACTCCAGGACCTGCAACACCAACTGGACCTACATCTGCAAACACACCAACCCCCCAGTCCTGCAAGCCACCGCAGAGGACATCACCCCCCAGCCCTTCACACCCATCTGCCCTGATGTTCTCCCAGGGCCACCATAGATCCCGGCACCATCAGCCTGCCCTCCCTGTGACAACATTGGCACCAGGGAGGTGACAGCCAAGGCTGCTTGCCTTATGCTGACACCAGCTCCAGCCAGCAGCGTCAGGGCTATGTCACCAGTGCTGGGTGGTGGCTGGCCTATCTCCGGCACCATTGGGACATGTCGGAGCTTCTCTACCTGGAATATGTTGACGTGGATGTAGGGATGGGCCAGGAGGGAGCGGGTGAGCAGCATGCAGAGCAGGGCAGACCACGGCGACTGGAAGCCAGAGACGTGGAGCAGCAGCCAGTAATGGCAGTAAAGACCGAGAAACATACAGCAGAGGGTCCGGAGAACTGCTTTCCACTCCACGTTCCTCAACAAATCTGTGCAAGGAAGAAGAGGCAGCATATGGACAAGGTGCTTATGCTTCCCCAGCACTGCTGCTGGACCTGCAGCCCAGCCCATCCCATCCCACTCTTCATCTCCCTTTGCCCACCCTCCAGGTTGGCCCAAACCCCCAGCCCTGCTGACCTCCAGCCCCCGCAGAGGGTCCAGCTGTGCATCATCACACGGGGATTTGGCTGCGTCTTCACTTCTTACAACTCGCCAAGTCATTGTCTGCCTTTTGGCATTGCCCGACAGACCAGGCTTCCTCAGCCTCTTACTATTTTCTTCTCCCCGATCGTTTCCTGGCACCATTATTTCCCCCCAAGCAGCCACTTTGTCTGCCTGAGCTCATTGTGTCCTGGCCCCCAGAGACCTCCATGCCTCCATCCCAAAGTCAGCAAATGCACCCGATGTGATGCTCTGACCCACCAGAGTCCTGTGTGACACCGAACCCTGCTACAGCCAAGGGTCTGAATTACAGGAGACCAAATGTGGGGCACTTGGGGCTCATGACAGCTTTTGTCAGAGCTTTCAACTCTTGACCCAACATGTGAACTGTTTTCTGAGCACCAGCAGAAAGGAGAGATGCAGCAGATGCCTCCCCAGGAGCAGATGCAGCATCACATGCCATCGCTGCAGCCCTCTGTCATGCCATGGGCTGGTGTAGTTAATGTGATGCTTCCAAAGCAGGACCCTTTGGTGGGCTGAGACCTGGAAAGTGATGAGCTCACCATACCCAACGTCCCACCCCACAGCAGTTGGGACACGTACCAAGAGCAACCAGAGGTGTTATGATGGGCACTGCGAGCGGCGCAATGAACATATAGACGTAGCGGTTCAGGAAAGGAAGCTTCCAGGTGCTGGAGTCCCCCAGGCCGATGACGTTGGTGTAGCCATGGTGGATCTTCACGTGGTTGTAGGTGGCCTGCTCAGCTGTGAAAGCTGAACAGAGCTGGGAGGGAAGAGAAAAGAGAGGCGATGCCTTCAGCCACGATGCCAGAGTTGGGCGCTGCTTGGCTTGGGCTCATGGGAGAGGCACCCAGGGGAGATGCTCTGCACCCAGAAAGAAGCACCCAGGGGAGATGCTCTGCACCCCACAGGCTCCCAAGCAGTCTGGAAATTGACTTCTTAAGAGTTAAGTACTGGAAACCATTCCCCCCATTCCCTGCAACACATAGTCCTGCTCTGCAGCCCCCGCGGCCAAGGGAACGGACACAAAACCCCACAGCCCAGCACATCACAGGGGCCACCCCCAGCCAGGGGCTCAGCCCCTGCCCCACTGCCCCTAGGCAAAGCCCCACAAGAAAGGATGTTCCTGGTGCTCCCTGGTGTAGTGTTCCTTTCCATTTAACTCTCCTGCACATGGATCAGGAAGGGTTTGGATCCATCTTGTTCTCTGATGGCTGTTCCTGAAAGGGCTTGGGGCGTTGACAGGATGCTGATGGGTATTTTTGGGGGGGCTGCCACTTGAATCCCCCAGCCCCGCTCACCTCGATGAAGAAGATGGCCCACACTTTGCCCCAGGACTTGGACTCAGTCAAGGCGTTGTGGCTGGCCAGGTGGCTGCCCTTCACGGTCAGGGTGTGATGCACCACGCCGAGGGTGAGGACACCCGCCAGGAAAGGGATGGCCTGGGCTGACCGCAGGCACAGGAACCCTGCGGAGAAACCAGCCGGGCAGGAGCTCAGCCACGCACACGTGCTGCAGCCCTCCTCACCTCCGAGGCTTGGAGGTGTTGCTACACCCAAACATGTCAGCTGCTGCCCTAAACCTGTTTTTGAGATGTAGTTAAGAGCACTTAAAGTGCCCCAGCTGGAAAGCTTCCCTCCGCACCGCCCTGCACGGCCAGACCGGCCACACTCGCCATCGTGCTGAAGGTTTGGCCACTTCCAGCCGCGGTGGCACTGGGCACTGCTGATGCCAGGTCCCATCCCACAGCTCTGTTTGGGATCCCACTGGTGACAGATACGACCCTGCCAGGATTTCAGCATCCCCAGGATTTCAAATGTAAGAGAAAGCACCAGGCTGCAGCCTTCCCACCGTGGTCCCCCGTGTCCACCTGCACCCTCCACAGCTGGTCACCAAAACCACCAAGGTTTCCCCTGCCCCGTGGCAGGGCACATCACCCCCCGTCCTGCCCTGTGCCCACCTGCCCAGGCACTGTCCCCTCACCCCGGGCTGTACCCTGTGTGCCACTGTCACCTGCTGCTCTGTCCACCTGCACCCTCCACAGCTGGGGCCACCATCACCAAAACCACCAGGGTTTCCCCTGCCCCATGGCAGGGCACATCACCCCCTGTCCTACCCTGTGCCCACCTGCCCAGGCACTGTCCCCTCACCCCGGGCTGTACCCTGTGTGCCACTGTCACCTGCTGCGGGTTTCCAGTGGGGTCAGGGTGCCCCATGGCAGGGGGCGAAGGGCTTATTGTGGCTTTGTTACAGGCTTAATAGGCTGCTAATAAGATTCCAGCTCAAACGAAGTTCTACCAGTGCTGCAAAAGCTGTGAGGAGGAGGAGGCACCCCCCCCCATACCCTCCACTCGGAGTCCCCAGCCACGATTTGGGGGGCCTGAGTGGGGTTACCTGCTGGGAGCAGGAGGAAGCTGAAGGCAAGGATGCTGATGTCCACACCGTGCCGGTCCCACCAGCTGCTGCTCTTCACCACCTTCTGCACCAGCTCCGAGAGCTCGGCCATCAGGGCTTCCTCACGCTGCTCCGGTTCCTGCCCAACTCGTTGCAGGCCCCCCCGGGGGGTCACGTCCCTGTCACCCAGCGCTGGCCTTGGCTCCCTGTCCTCCACCATCGTCTCCATCCTGCTGCTGTCGGGAGCCGGCATGCCCCGGGGAGGGGGGTCCCCCATCCCCCTGGAGTTGGGGGTCCCGTTGACCTCACCGTTGACCTGCTGTCCCCTCCGCCTCGCCGTGTCCCCATCCTCAAGCGGCATCTCCCTGCCGAGCAGATGCCACCTAAGAATAGGGGAACACCCCCCCCACCACCCCCGCAGCACCGGCGGCCGGTCAGTCCGTGCCGGCACCGCACACCCCCGGTGCTGTGCGGCAAGGATTTGGAGAAGGGAGGAGCAGAGGAGGAGGAGGAGGAGGAGGAGGGCGAATGCAGATTAGCCATGGCAATAATCCGCCCGGGTGGCCCATTTCGGGGGAGCAGCCGGTGGCGGCGGGGGCCGCGGAGAGGACGCGAGGGCGAAGGCAGGAGGAGGAGGAGGAGGAGGGAAGGAGAGGAAAAAAAAAGATGGAGAGAGGCAGTGGAAAGGCTGGAAGAGAAGGAGCCCAGAGCCAGAAATAGCTCCGAGAAACCCTAAGCGGAGCGCCCGGGGACGGGGATAGGGTTTCGCTTCTGCCCAGGGAAAGGGGAGGAAACATTGCCCACGCCGCCAGGTTGGGCAAAGGGTTTCTCCCATTTTGGGGAGAAAACCGGCCTTTTTCATAGCAAGGAGCGAGCTACGGGAAGGAGGGGGCAGTGCACGGCTGCCGGTCTGCTCAGCACCCTCCTCTGTGCTGGGGGGGGCACACACCGAGCCCAGGGGCACCCACAGGGGACCTGCTCACCCCAAATCTGCGCCCAGCGGTTGTCACACC